CTTCCCCGATTCCTCATTCAAGCCGCCCAGTTCATCGATCCCCTCTTCCACTCGTTCTACTACATGCAGTGCGTCCCGAACGTTCTTCTGCTCCCGCGATATCTTCCCTCACGCGCTCCCCGTCGCTCCAGGCTGAACATCTTTTACCTACTCCTCGACAAGCTCAACGGGTTCGCAGAGGGCAAATACGACGTCTCCATCCCCGCTGCGCAGATCGCGAGCGACTACGAAGGCCGCCGCTCCGACGCCCTCGAACGCGTTGAGGCCCTCAACATCACGTCCCGCATCCTCTCCACATGTCCGTCCCCCGTCCTCTCCCCGCACGCGCCCCTCACTTACGCACTCCGCAGCACGGATGGTCCAAGCGAACCGCTCCGCCTCCGGCAACAGCACGCTCAGCCCCAGCGGCTCCACCCTCGGCCGCGCGACCTCGACCGCGTCGACCGCCTCCGCCGCCTCGCGCTCGCCTTCCAGCTTCAAGAAGGCCCTCCCGCCGCCCTCGCCCACGCTCACCCCGTCCGCCGCGCCGCCGCCGTACTCCCCATCTCCCTCGGGTTCATCCTTCGGCGCGGCGGCGGTGGCGAAGAAGGCGCCGCCCCCGCCCCCGCCCCTCAAGCCGAAGCCGAAGGCAGCGCCGGCGGTGCAGTACGTCGTCGCGCTCTACGACTTTGCCGCGCAGGCGGACGGCGACCTCGACTTCCGCGCCGGGGACCGGATCGAGGTCGTGGAGCGGACGGAGAGCACGGAGGATTGGTGGACAGGGAAGCTGCACGGGCGGCAGGGCGTGTTCCCAGGTGCGCAGCGCGGTTTTGTTTGATTCTGGCTCTAGCGGCGGTTTGGGCGAGGCTGATGTGGTGCGCGCAGGGAACTACGTCCAGGACACGTGAAGGGGGCTGGATGCGACGATCTCGAAGGAGGATGCGGAGGGCGGAGCAGAAGAAGATCACGCTTGGGATACTTGTATGATTCGGGCACACACTGGATGGCAGGACGTGGGGAGAGACGACTGCAGGCGTTTCCACCGGGAGTACACAGGAGAGCACCTCATACATGCTGCATATACCGCTCCGCATCCCATAAATATTCGGTCTCCGGCTTCCAAATCCCCGACCGCTCATACAGCGGGATCTGTCCCATGCCGCACACGCCGCTGACCCACCCACTTGTCAGCAGAGACAATACACATCCCAGGACGCCTTTCGAGGGACCGCACTCTCATTAACATCATGATCACCTCTCTGCGAACACTCGGTGCCTCGCGCTCGCCAAGTAGTGCTCCATGTTGCCGCCATGACACGTATTTGAGTAGGCACGTGAGGATAAGGGCTCCGGCACGCACAGATATGTTGCGCAGATATTTTGGGAAGTACTGATTGGTACCATACATTCAACAGACACAACCCACAGTCCATGCCCCTGACTCCTCACCTCTCGTCCGCCCCGTCGCTCGCCGACACGTCGTGCAGCAGCAGCGGCCGCATCGTTTGGTCCCAGTTCTCCGTCCACGTCCCCCACTCCCACCGGTGCGCCCGCCCACCCGTGGCCCCCGGCCCCGCGCGCGCCCCGAACGCGTCGCGCAGAGCCTCGAGCGCCGGAGGGTGCGGGAACCCGCGGAGAAGCGTCTGTGCGAGAGTGCAGCATGTCAGTCGCCGTCACCATCAACGGGGAAAAGAAGGGAAAGGAGGGGGGGAAGGGGGAAAAGAGGGAGGGAGGAAAAAGGATGGAACGCGGGCGCAGACGCAGACGCACCTCAAGCTGGGACGCAAGCTGTGCGGCGTCGTCGAAGATGAGCCCGTTCACGCCGTCGCGGACGAGCTCGCCGAGGCACGCGAAGTCGAGCGCGCACACGGGAAGGCCACAGCCGAACATGTCGACGACCTTCATCGGGAGGTCGAGCGCGGAGGAGCTCGCGTGCAGCGAGACACCGAGGTCCGCCGAGCCTGCGCCGTCCCCGAGTCAGCCAGCGCGCGCGGAGGCAGGAGAGGAGGGGGGACGCACCGAGGAGCAGCGGGTAGTCGTCCGCCTCGAGCCAAAGGCTGACGCAGCGCACGAACCGCCACGGGCCCGCCTCGCCGTACGACCCGGTCTGCAACCGTTCGATATCTGCCATGTGCTGCGCGCGCAGGGGCCCCTTCCCGGTGACGACGGCGAGGACCTTCGGGAGGCGCTCAGCCTCGCTGGCGTTTTCTAGCTCACGCGCGCGGTGCTCGTAGGCGGCGAGCGCGGCGAGGAGCATCCCGAAGTCTTCGTCGGGCGTCCAGGAGGTGCTGCTCACGACGAGCGCGGGGCGGTCGGGGCGCGGCCGGGGCGCTTTCGTACGGTCGGCGAAGGCGCCGACGTCCATGGCCACGGGGTCCGAGTAGGTGGATACGTGGGTGAAGGGCGTGGAGAACGGGGGGTCGGATTTTGGGAGGAAGGTGGCAAGGGAGGGCGCGGACGCGCCGGAGAGGGACGGGAGCAGGCGTTGGAAGAGCTCGTGGGTCTCGGTGGAGGTCGCGCGGTGGAAGCGGGTGGGAGGGCGGTCGTGGAGCACGACCTTGTGGCCTCTGGGGGCACGGGGAGGGATTGTGAACGGGGGAAGGGTTGAGGGCGGGAAAGAAGACGTACTGCAAGTCCCATTCCGTAACCAGATACTCGCGCATGGCGTTTGTCACGAATAAGTGGGCATAGGCCGACCGACCGAAGTAGGACTCGAACCTAGGACCAACGTCAGGTGGCTGTATGCGCAGTTGAAAGGCTCGAGAGCATACACTCACCACTTCGCGACCTTGACCAGTGGGTGCTCATCCCCAAGTTTCAACGCGAGGATGCTGTAGCCGAGATTGTGCCAGTCGATGATGACCTTGCAGCCGCGCACGCGCGCAACAAGCCACACAAGAGCTAGAGTGGGGATGCTAGGTGGATTCTGGCTTTCAAGGGTACGGAGATCGCGGTGAGATTCTGGGAAAGATCGCCTGAGGGAAGAGTGCGTACCTGGACGAGAATATACTCCGGTGGAGGGATGCGCACAAGCAGGATGTGCAGGATATCGATCACTTGGCGTAGCACTTTGAGAGGGCCTCCGAGAATGAAAGGTAGCTTTCGTAGCAGGGATGGGGGTTCCGCAAGATGGAGTATTTTGACGCGAGGTAACGAGAGCAGGGAAGGGATAGGTGTCGAGCCTGGCAGGGGTCTTAGTCAGTGTCTTGTGGGACCAGATCCCTCTTTCCCTTGTTGTGGTTGCCACTCACCCCCATATCCAACGATATATGTAAGAAACTCGTTTGTAGCAAAGCTTTCGGCGTGGTACATCATACGGGGACTTCGTCCTATGTCTCCGAGGACCACAATCGCGACAGAACGCAAGGCTGGACGAGGCTTGGGTGCGGCATACCAAGACCAGAGGACGTAGGAAAAGCCGGCAAGCAAAGCAAGAAAGACGAGAGGCGACGCACTGCTCACCGCAGTGGCCATGGTGGAGGAGAGGACAAGCTGGCACCTCCAGTCCCAGCTGGGAGACGAGATTTACGTGCGATGATTGGCTGCGCACTTGCGGAAATGATGTCACGTCAGAGCGCCCGTCCTGAGTAAGACATGCGGAGTCCGGACTCGACTCTGCTCACTCCTTCTTGGTTTCTGCCATCATGCTCTCCTCATCATCCGTCGCGTCGTCTTCGCTACGCGCGCTGGCACGCTCTGCGAAGCGCACGTCCACCAAACGGCTGACCGCCGCCCCTGCAAGCGCAACTTCCGCAAGACATTTCTCTGCGTCGCCCCGTCATTCTGTGGCCATCCAGCATGGTACGACCTTCGCGACCGCGGCACCAAGGAGGTCCGGGCATTTGGGTCTGGGTGCGAAGCGGATACAAAACGGTGCGTCAGTCTCTCGCATTTATCCTTGCAGCAGCTCATCTCGACCAGCTCGCACGATGTTCATCCAAACCGAGACCACGCCGAACGAAGACTCACTCAAGTTCATCCCCGGCGTCGAGGTGATGGGCGACGGGACCGCGGAGTTCACGGACACCCGCTCCGCGCTCAAGTCCCCGCTCGCGATCCGGCTCATGGGCATCGAGGGCGTCACCGCGGTCTTCTACGGCCCCGACTTCGTCACCGTCTCGAAGGACTCGGAGACGGCGTGGTCGGTGGTCAAGCCCGAGGTCTACGCCGTCCTCATGGAGCACTTCTCCGCCGGGCAGGCGCTCTTCCGCTCGGAGGAGGACAGGGAGTCGGCGGGCCCGCAGGACACCCGCATCCTCGACACGGACTCGGAGACGGTCGCGATGATCAAGGAGCTGCTCGAGACAAGAGTCCGGCCGGCGATCATGGAGGACGGCGGGGACATTGAGTACCGCGGGTTCTCGGACGAGGGCGTGGTGCAGGTGAAGCTGAAGGGGAGCTGTCGCGGGTGCTCGTCCAGCACGGTGACGCTGAAGAGCGGGATCGAGCGGATGCTCATGCACTATATTCCCGAAGTGAAGGCCGTCGAGCAGGTGCGTACCTCCGCTTTCCCCCCCTCAGCGTTAATCAAGCCCTCAAAAGGTGCTCGACGAGGAAGAGGAGATCGCGCTCAGCGAGTTCGACAAGCTCGAGAAACGCCTCGCGGAAGAGAAGGGCCGCAAACCGGACTCGAGGTAACTCTGCCGCACTGCTCTTCGCCGTCCGTTCCGCGCTCACGCACCCGCTTGCCCTGCCCCGTCCGCCGGCTCGCAGTATGGCGCAGTACATGTCTGTGTAGATATACCTGTACCCACCTACTTAATCACCTTCGCACTGCGGGAACGCCGTCACGCCGCCGCTCTCACACCCCGCGCGATGTGTGAACGCGCCGACGTGGACGCGCCCACCGCGGACGAGTCTCCGAGGGCGGGCGTGTAAGCCGGCGGGTGGGCGAGCAGCGGGGCCGGACGTCGCCGGCTGCTCGCGCCCGCCCGTCCTCTTAAGCCACGATCATGTCGCCGTCGCTCTCAGCTCGCTCTCTTTCTTCCTCCCCCTCCCCGCCTCCACTCCGATCTCCGTAGATGGCGACCGACCTCCGCACGTTCACCATCGCCTCGCGCGCGTCGGAGCTGGCGCAGGTCCAGACCAACATCGTCCGCGATGCGCTCGCGAAGCTCTACCCGGAGCACGCCTTCGCGACGTCCTTCATGACCACCGGCGGAGACCACAACCAGTCCCAGGCGATCTACCTCATCGGCGGGAAGGAGATGTGGACGAAGGAGCTCGAAGTCGCTCTCCGCGAGGGCGCGGTCGACATGCTCGTCCACTCGTACAAGGACGTCCCGACCGCACTCCCCGCGGGCTGCGCGATCGCGGGCGTGCTCGAGCGCGAAAACCCCGTGGACTCGCTCATTGTGAAGGAGGGGCTGTCGTATAAGAGTCTAGAGGAGTTGCCGGACGGGAGCGTGGTCGGGACGAGCAGCGTGCGCCGCGTCGCGCAGCTGAAGAGGCGGTTCCCGAAACTCGTTTTCCAGGACGTTGTGAGTTTTCCCATCTTCATCTGTGCGCACGCACCCGACCAACAAGCCATGTCCACCCTTCCCGCCCCCCGACGGCGCGCCATGCAGCGCGGCAATCTGTGCGTTTCCCACCCCCCTCTCCCGATCCGCCCTTCCCTCACGCGCACCCGCCTCCCTCTTGTCCAGAAACACACGCATGAAAAAGCTCGACGCCCCCGACTCCCCCTTCGCCGCGATCATCCTCGCCAAGGCCGGCATGGTCCGCCTCGGCTGGGGCGCGCGCATCACCCGCGACCTCGCGCCCCCGCTCCTCCTCCCCGCCGTCTCCCAGGGCGCGCTCGCGATCGAGGTCCGCGCGGACGACGCCGCCGCGCGCGCGCTCTGCGCCGCGATCTCGCACTGGCCGACCGCGTGGGCGTGCGCGGCGGAGCGCGCGTGCCTGCGCGTGCTCGAGGGCGGCTGCTCCGTGCCCGTCGGGGTGCACAGCGCGCTCGCGGAGGCGGCGGGCGCGGACGGGAGGAAGGGGGGCAGGATGAGCCTGACGGGCGCGGTGACGAGCCTGGAGGGGGAGCGGCACGTGGAGCACACGGAGAGCGGGGAGGTGTGGTCGGAGGAGGAGGCGGAGGCGTTGGGGGCGCGGCTGGCGGGGGTGCTGATGGGCGCGGGGGCGAAGGCGATCTTGGAGGACATCGCGGCGGACAAGGCGAGGCGGGTGAAGGAGGCGGAGGCGGCGGAGGCGACGGTCTAGAGACAGGCAGGGTAAGAAAGCTTGAAAGTCGGACGTTTGTTATTGTATCGCGGTGCGGGTTCTCCGACTTGAAGTGGAGGTCTTTCCATGGCTGTGACATGGTCGCACTCGACACTCCCTTTGGATGCTACAGGCATGGCGCAAGGGAGGACCACTCATTTTCGCTATGGCCGTGCGCGTCGCCGCCGGATGTCAAATGTGGTGGAGGGCAAGCGCCCATTGCGAGACTTATACGATCTCCCGTCCATTGGCAATCGCCACAGACCTCACGGCCTCAAGGACGCAAGTCCAGGCGTCGAAGTTCCAGACAGCGGGGTGAGCAGGAGTGGCCTCGCTGCAAGTTGCTGCCTGATGCATTCTCGTGACATTCGCCGTCGGACATGGATATCGTTTTGACTCGAGGGTGTAAGTACCAGAAAACAATTGAAAATCAGAGCACTTCTCCGTCCGCATTGATGCAACGCCACAGGCAACAGCAAGCATCGCATTTTTTGAATTTCAAGCAGGCCACATGTCATAACATTGCATATAAATACAATTGCATCCTCCAATTCCCTTGAAAAGCTTCCACGTCACTCCTTGTTCACCACCACCACCATCTCCGCCATTCATTCGAGCCTCTTGCACAGGATGGTCGAGCTCGAGCTCAACTGGAGCACCGCCGTCATAGGCTTCGCCGCAGTCTTTGCGGCTTCTCGCATCATCAACTACCTCGACTGCGACAAAGTCCGTGTCATGTTTTGTTTTTGCACGTGCTTTGATCCTCACACGCTGTGCAGCGCACCGGGCACCTCCCTGGTCTGCGTTCGTTCGCCACACCGATTTCCCTCTTTGGGACGATCCTGCCGTCTGGCAGATGGAACCCGGGCAGAAACTGGCAGTGGGAAACTCGCAAAGAAGGTTCGCTCCGCCTCTCCTCTTCACGACAGCCAAACTGACCGCGAACCGCGACACGCTCGTCAGTGTATGCCCGCCATGGTACCGAAACCATCTCGGCCTTGCCGTACTGCTTCGGCGCGCCCATCATCTACACGTCCTCGCCTGAGGTGTCCCGCCAGCTCATGTCCGTCAAGGAGTTCTTCAAGCATCCAGAGATCACGATTCTCGCCACGTGCGTGCCGCACTGTGATCGGCGTGCTACCGTGCCCTCTGACAGTCCCATCGCTTCTCAGTATGTGGGGCCCGAACCTGTTCTCCACCGACGGAGAGCAATGGCGGCGCATGCGACGGATCATGACGCCGGCGTTCAACCACTCAACGTGAGTGTCCGCACGCGTCGGAGATTGGCTTCGGGGGCTCACAGCACGCGCAGCTACGTCACGGTGTGGGAAAACACCTCCCGCACGTACCGCGAGATGACCTCCAACGAAGGATGGGACGCGCAGAAGACGATCGAGGTTCCCAACATCACACGGCTCACCGCCAAGGCGCGTTTCGCCGTCCTGCCGTCGCCGACGACGCTGCGCGCTGACCGCCCTCGCACCTCCGCAGTTCACGCTCATCCTCATCTCGTGCGCCGGCTTCGGCTTCCCGCTCTCGTGGGACTTCAGCCAGGCGGAGGGCACGGACAAGATGTCGTTCGGCGAGGCGCTCCACATCATCTCCGAGAACCTCATCCTCCGCCTCGTCCTGCCGAACTGGTCCCGCCACCTGCCGGTGCAATCGTACGCGCCTGGAATGTTCTAGGAAGCAGGCTGTAGGACTGACGGTCTTGTTTTGACGCTTTAGGTTCAAGGATCTGCACGAGGCGTACGAGATTGCGGGCAAGTTCCTCCACACGCTCATCGACGACAAGAGGCGCGAGTTCGCGTCTGGCGCAACCCCGGGCAACGACGTGCTGAGCCTCATGATCCAGTCGGCCGAGAGCGAGGGCAAGTCGAGCATGACGGATGAGGAGCTGGTGCGTCGAGTTGGCAGTTCTGATGGACCGATGTTGGGCTGACCCCTATTTCCGTCTCAACAAGACCGGCAACTTGTCAATTCTGCTGCTCGCAGGGCAAGGTGAGTGCAGCTTGGTCTCCGCAATGACTCCCTAACTGGCTTGCACAGAGACATTGGCCTTCACGTTGAATGCCACGCTCGGATACATGGCGCTCTACCCGGAGTTCCAAGAGGAGATGTACCAGGAAGTCATGTCCGCAATGCCCACAGCAGACGATGTCGTACGTGTACACGATCCGTATCGACCCTTGACGACCCCCTCACCTGTCTTCCAAGACGCTCGCGAACTCCCACAAGCTGCGCAAGGTGCAGGCGTGCATGCTCGAAGCCGCCCGCCTCTTCCGTTCGTGCCCCTCTCGTCCGCTCACAAGCCCAGCGCACACAGTCCTCACCGCCCCGCGTCCCCCTCCTTACCCTCAGCGGCCGTATCGATGATGATCCGGGACTCGTGCGAGGACATCGTGCTCGAGCACGTCGGCCCGAACCGCGACGAGCGCATCGCCGTCCCCGCCGGCACCCGCTTCGTCGTCGACATGATCGGTCTCCGTGAGCGCCCCCCTTCCCTCCACCGCCGCCCAGCCGCACGCCCACTAACCGCTGACCGCCGGCTTGGACACAGACCACAACCCGCGCACCTTCCCGGACCCCGAGGCGTTCAAGCCCGAGCGCTGGTACGACGCGCCCGAGAACGCGCTCACCCAGTTCTCCTTCGGCCCGCGCGTCTGTGAGTTCGCTGCCCCGTCGCTCCCCACTCCCGCTTCCTGTTTCCTTTTCCTGTGATGCGATGTTCTGACGACGCGCGCGTGTTCCAGGCATCGGGCGCCGGTTCGCGATCACGGAGGCCTGTGCTTCCTCGCGCACCTCGTGCGCGACTTCCGCGTCGAGCGGCTCGCGGCCCCGGGCGAGTCGCGCGAGCGGTGGGAGGCGCGGTACATGCAGGGCGCCGTGCGGACGACGTTGGGATCGTGGAGATGCCGCTGCGGCTCGTGCGCCGCGGGTGAGGCGGGCGCGTGGGTTCGTGTCTCGCTGGGTCCCGGTCGCATGATAATAATTGGTACGCCTCTTTGCGATTGTGATACGGGGCACGCTCCGCGTCGCGTCCGCGCCCAGCTTCGCCGTGTCCCTGCCCAACCCAAGTGACCGGAAGCCGTCACATCCTTGCTTGTCTTCACGCTATCCCGGCGCCGTGCTCAGTCGACGAGGGTGGATATCGTCCACCAGCGTTTTCGGCAAAGATTAGCGCTCGAGCCGAGGCGTCCTTGATCTCAATCGAGTACCATATGCTGACATTCTGCAAACATAACGACTTCACATGCGGCGCTGCTCGTTCGCATAGCTCTCAATACCATCCACGCACGCATCCTTCAAACTTGCGCACGCAACGCATCGCCAACGCGACGTACTCGCTCCACCGAGGGTCGATGCCGGCCTGGGGCAGGATCTTCCGGACACGTTCCAAGAGAGAGCGCGCGGTCTCGACAAGTTCAAGCAGCTCCGCGCGGTCTCCGTTGCGGTGGACGGCGCCGTTCGGGGCGAGCGCCTTGTGCAGTTGCATCGCCGCCTTGAAGTCGGTGCTGACAATTTCGAAAGATTGTTAGTGACCACTCGCACGCCGCATCCGGAAGAACTGAGCGACGCACCGCGCCTCGTTCATTTCCTTGTTGAGCCGCTCAAGGTCGCGGTGGTCGTTGGACCTGTCGAGCTCTGCAGAGGCAGCGGACTTCCGGTGATAGAGCAGATCCTTGAGCCCGTCCACGGCGACGAGCAGCTGCGGGACGGGGCCCAGGTAGAGATGGCGGTACGCGCACCGTCCGCAGCAGGCTTCCTTGTGAGCGCTGAGGCGGAACCTGATGAACATCGCGCGGACGCTGTCGTCGATACTCTTCCGTTGCAGGTAGCTAGAGTACGCCCGGTCGATGATGAACGCCGCGCAGTGCTGCGCGGCAGTGAATTCTACCGCGCGTTGTTCCCGGTCTGGCGATTTGGATGCAGTGTTGACCCCTGTTGCCGTGCTCGGATGGGCCTGCCGGGTGCCGGCGTCTTCGGACGGGGGTCGATCGAAACCCATGGGGGCGTGGTGATGCCCAAAAGATGGAGGATGTCGGAGTGCCGGGAGAAATACACATTGCGAATAGAGCCAGATTTGACACCGGTGCTGTTTGCTTGGATAGGCGTCGAACTGTGGTGAAGTCGTATCATCTCGTCGGTGGGACAGTTGTCAAGAGACCGCAGAGCGAGGTTCCTCCGCTCTGCCCAATCCAAAGCGTAGATAAGTCTGAGGTATAGGGGAAGCTCAGATATTCTGGCGCATCTCAGAGATCGCCGAAATGTGTGCTCACGGCGAGATAGTCGGGTCCATCAGCCTGGAGTGCTTTGAGTGAGCCATTGTGGCGTTGGCATCGACTTCGTATGAAGGGCCACTGTTGTATGCCCCTGTACGAGGTTACGAGTAAGAATCGGTGTTGTATTGCGTAGGACAATATAAGAACGTACAAAGTAGGAAGTTGATGCATCTGAAAACGAAACATCCCCATTCGTTAGAAATGTGGAAGTCAAACTATAGATCGGATACCCACACCCGACGGAAGTAAAGCGCACGGTGCATTTTAGGGTTGAAGCGGTTGTCTGAGAGATAGAAAGTTTCTGACATGAAGCGACCTTGCACGACAGCGCGTGAGCTCGATTGAAGGAGGTATGGGCAAACAACAAAAAAAAGCTCACCTGCAGGTTCACCGCCGCAGTACAGAAGTTTCAACAGCTTCTTGACGCATTCCCCGTACGCTTTCGGCGACAACACAGCTTGTTCCACCAGCTCCGTGGCTTCCATATCGCGTAAACGTGCACGAGCCAACTCTTCGGCAGACCAAGCCGTGCAAGCTCCCACCTCGAGTCGCCACCAAATCGACGCACATAGGTGATCCAAGTATTCGCATAGAACACCGATGTCAACAAAGTTCTGATTGTCGAGGACGTACCTAAACGTCAACCAGAATATCAGCATGGTGCAACGCGACGGGAGATAAATGCACATACTGGACGTAGATCACCCCCCGTTCAAGTGCGTTTGGTTCCTGCAAGCGTATCGACGCGATCAGTTCATGCAAGGCATATATAGGGCGATGGTCGTCTTCAACTCGACCAACGGTGAGCTCCTGTGGTCTCCAGCTTCCCGAGCGCACTGAACTAGGGACGAGATGGAGGTCCCGGGCGGCACCTGCCCGATCGAAGAGCATTGCAAGCCTTGCTGCGCGCATAAAGTTTGCCAGAAACGTCTTGCTAGGATGGACTGGATGGAGGACGTTGAGGAAGTCTTTGATCCACACGACAATAACGCGACGAGCCTCTCGCTGCAGGTTTTTCCCAAGGGCGCCAGAGACGAGGTGTAGTGATCCAAGGTTCGCGTGAGGTGGGAACAACGCTTCGTACAGTTTGCGAATCCAAGCACTGTTGAGTCAAAGCTTGTCAACACACATGTATATGATGTAATGGTACTGAAACGACTCTCACCGTTGCTGTTTTTCGCGCACGTTATAGGGCATGTCGGTGGCGAAAAGGGTGTGGAAGATCATGATCTCATAGACGTAGATGCGGATGACACGATTGTAGGTCGTAGTTGCTTCGGAAGACGCCTTCGGGACAGAACCGTGCCAGTAATTTGGACAGTCATAGCGCCCACACTGTCCGTTTCCAAATGCCGCGGATTGTAGACATGGCTTCAGGGAATACATCGTGTGCGCCACCTCTTTCTGAGTTTCCACTCGGCTCCGGAGAAGATCTCGAAGAGTCTCCTTGAGGGCCTTTTCCAAGTCGAAGCGGCTGAGGACGAATACTGAGCCCTGCTGAGGATACTGACAGACTCGATAGCATGCCAGATACAAACGAGACCTTGACATGACCTGGAAGTGGTCTTCATTGGAATGAGGTCTGAAAGCGAAAAGGGTTTGTAGGATCGGATCCGAACACGGATTCGGGTTGCAGGATAGACGCTGGAGAATACGCGCATACTGCAGGAAGGAGTGGAACGCCTTCTCAATCGCTTCGTGGCCGGTGTCCTCCAGAGCTTGAGTGACGCGCCGAAGAAATTCTTGATCGCCCGCGTCCTTGGGATCCTTTTTTGCGCGCTCCAGTGCTGCTTCTAGCTCGCCGAATTTTCCGATGAAGACGTAGTCGAGTGATAGAAGCGCCTCCGGGGTGTTCTCTTGCGCCAGAAAGACGTCGCAAAGCTCATCAAGTACCGCAAAGTCGTACAGATAGATGGCGGAGAACATTCTGAGCTGCAGTACCACGTTCCTGGTAAGTACACTGCATGTCTTCATGCCAGAAGTCAACATACTGCATCTCGAGGGTGGCTTCTTCTTGGGAGTTTAGGAAGCAGAACCTCGGCGTGTTCGAGTAGCGATTGTACGATGGGATCTCGGAAGTTGTCGTCGAGCGCAGTCAAAGGGAGACGTTCCCACAAGCCGTCGAGCACGATCTCTACTGCTCTAGAAACCGATGCGGCGTTCTCGGCGTTCGTGAGGAAGAGGTCAATGGCGCCGAGAATGTCCCCGTCTCGCAGAACCCGTTCGGCCGCGTCGTGGTAGCGGCCCAAGTCAACCAAGAAGGCAGCACCCGAAGCATTGGAGCCCACAGTCGTCCATGTATTCCACAGCCTCTGCTGTGTCGTCTTCGAGAGCTCCAGGACTTTCCTGTGAATGCGACGAGTAGGACGACATCAGAAACAGCTACCAGGATGTAGATGCTATACTCACGCAGTCCTCTTCGTTTTGATGTAGTGTAGCCGGGAGATGCTCAGGATCTCCTCCCCGACCTCTGCAGATACAACGCCCATCTTGACGAGGCGAACAGCATCATCGAACTTCCCCGTCTGGCGGTAAAGCGTCGCAGCGTCGTCGTACACCTCCGCAGCTTCGTATTCTCGCGCCGCGCTTAGCGCGGCCCCTCCCTCAACGAAACAGAGCGCGGCTGTGCGATGGTAGCTGCGGGCGTCGCGGGACTTCGCGTGCCTCTTCAGCGACAGAGACGAATGCTTGACCAGCCTCATAGTACGCGTGCTCGCGAACGTTTCTGCTGGAAATATCGAATGCCGGTAACCTGGATGCTTCCTGGCGGCGGAGGTATGCCCGCGCGACGCGCGCTTCGCGATCCAAACCTGCACGGACAAAATCGTTGGCGGCCTCTGCGTAGATCTTGTGGTGGAAGAATGTTCGAGCTTGGTCTTCCCATTCCTCCTTTGTGGAAGTGCGGGTGGTAGGGGACAAAGGAACGTGCTGATCATGGATGTCGACGAGGTTCTCATATAGAAAGAGCTCCTATAATGACACCTGAAATGAGATTCCGCTTTATGAAGTTTTCCGCCGGAGGGCGATTCTTACGCGAATAGGGTTCGAGCGATCCGAGCAATCGACGATCCAAAGATTTTTTCGGGCGCGTGTCATTGCGACATACAGATGCTTGAGCTGTTGGGCGTGTAGAAGTCAGCTCGGATGAGTGATGTGAACCCGCGCTGCGGTAAAACGTACTTCTCTGCAAACTCCCGCATGCCTGCCGACATCGGAAGCGGGTGCTCGCGCTCCTGGAACATCGTTCAGGATGATGCGCCAGGACGACTCATCAACCCTGGAGTCATTGAAGAAATCCCAGATAATGACCTGGATCACAATGGTAGTGTGACATTAATATTCAACATAAAGGATACTTCCATAGGACATACGTCGTCGAATTCCAGTCCCTTGCTCTCGTAAATGGTGCTGAAAATCAATCGTCAGCCACTCCAGTACGCTAGCAACTGAACCAACGCAGGACTTACATAAGATGCCTTGCATCAGGTACCTCGGCCTGTAGCCGAGTCTTGACGCCGTCATTCCGCACCAAGATACCTAGAATTTGATCGACATAAACACACGAACTGAGGCACAGTAAAGTCACCCACACTGGCTTGCACCAAAGTCAACCGTACTTTCTCTTGGTCCTCTGGACGACGGATGAATGAGAATCTCGGCTGTCAAGCGAAGCCCGAAATCACTCACGACTTTCCGAACACAGACCGAAGAAAAACCGAAGGATCTGTTGACGAGATAAAGCGAGGTTTCGGTCCAGGACATGACCCTCTCTCCTCCGGAAGCTGATCTATCTGTGCAGGCCAGTACCTCACAATTAGACGCACAATTGACTGCGCGCAACGAACGATCCCAATGTGCGACGATGGTTCACGGTGAGATGGAACATTGGTGGATCGAGCTCGACGTTCTTCAGTGAGCCGTAGATGCGCTGAATTTTCGGATGAGGAGTGTTCACCGCAACAACGAAGCAGAAAAGGTGAATTTACCTTTCCGAATCGGTAGTTCATCGCCTTGAGCTCGCTGAATCGGAACGCACTGTGGGCGGAGATGGTTTGTGCAGTGTCTCCCGCCCAGAACAGTCCGTTGGGGTTTGGCACAGATGGCGCAAGACTGTCCAAGTTTTAGTCGATGGTTGGTCGCAGATATGTACTCAACGTACCATGTGAATCGATCAAGAGGTTGTCCTGACATTCATCGACGAAACTGTCAATGAATTAGAGAGATATGAGTGCTGATATGAGCGAGACGACGAACATGTTTCGCAGATGACTACCGGGGACTCCCACAGCGTCCAGACATCTGATGAGACGTCGAGATCTATCGGAAGTGTATCATCAGCATCCGCGTGCGTTAGAAGTAAGAAAGAGCTCACCTATCAGCTGCATCGAAGTACCATACACCAGCCATGGTTTTCCGCCGGCTTCGATACAGTTCGAAGACGGCGTAAATACCTTGCAGCTCCTCTGTCGAAATCGGTTGCGTATGCCGCACTTCGTCATCGTGTACATACACATCTTTACTGAGGAATCCTTGATCGCTTCGAATGGCTTCGTCGGACCCCTTGATTATCGCCATTATCTCAGAGAACACTAACTCCGCACCTGCGTCCGTGCGTCAGCCATGGTATGAACGAGACAACAGAGTGGCATACTCAGGTTCCGCTGAAGGTGTTCAGGGAAGTGGTTCCAGAAGATGTGCAGGAACATATCGAAGTCCAAAAATTGAGGAAGGGCACTTCCAGCCGCGCGCCGTGGACGTGTCACCAGGACGGATTCCCAGAGCGTCTCGGAGAGATGCGATTTTAGACGGTACAACCTTTTCCATTGTGACGAGATTCCGGAACTCGTTCTCCAGCAAACGACACAACTACGGTCCAAACGCGTCAAATATGCGCTAAAAATATGGACGAAACACTTACACTGGCATAGCTCAGGAAGAGCGGGAAGTGATTGTCCTGCAAAGCGTTGAAACGCTGTGGGGCGTTTTGGACCCATTCGACTTCGTCGTCGAGGTTGAACAGTCCTTCCGACCTCTCTCGCTCGCGTTGCGACGCCAGCTTCTGCACCTCCTCCTCCGACATCCTTCCCACTTCTATAGAACGCAGTAACTTGTTGTAGTACTCCTTGACGTGCTTCACTAGTATCTCGCTTTGAGAAATGAACAGTTGCCCGTGGTTTGCTGATCCCTTGCCCGAACTCCGTCTCATGCGACGCAAGATCCATGGACAGCATCTTGAAGACGATGACGGTTGTCTTCCTACGCGCCAATTGGTATTAGCTCTCGCGGACTCGAACTTTGCTACCAATCGTCCACTGACCCAGTCCCGCTGCGTCCTTATGAAAACGAATCAGCTTCGATACTGAGGACTATATGCAGTTTGCGTACCTAGTACATAACACGAACCGTTGTGGTTGAGATCTCTTGCTGGTCCTCCTGAACGCGCATAATGGGTTGAATGATTCGTAGCGACGTACGAAATGTACGTACTCGAGGTTGAAAACGAATGCGGCGTCCTTGGATGAAAGCTGGGCGTATATCGCTGCAAGTAAACCCATAAGTGCGTGTCTGGAAGCCACATTACCGCGCTCACATGCAAGATATTCCTGTAATGGGGTACAGATATGTCAGCGACCTCCTCACGGACTCAATCGACAAGACACACCCTCGAATATGCGACGAACTTTGCATGTCTGGTGTGTAGGAGAGCGTGAATAGCAGTCGAATCGCCTAATGGTGGAATACGTACGTGAGGAGATCTTGTAGCTGTAAGAAGTTCTCATTAGCAGCCGTATAGAAATCCGAGCGAATTTCGCTCACCTCCTCCGCCTGTTCTTTGGTCAAATCTTCCGAAATTGGAGCTGTTTCGACGAGTTGGTTGTGGAACTTCTGGAGCTTGGAACACCGTTGGATACACAAGGTGATCGCCTCGTTTGTTTGTGCGTCGATCGCGGGCAACACACCTGAAAGCGCATGAGTCCAACAGAATCATGTTAGCTCGGAATACAACACCGGTCTCTGTACTGCGAACCACCATTGTTGAGAAACAGCTGTCTACTCAGTTGATTCCATGGCATTCTGTTGATCTGCACATGGTTGTATACGCCGTAGACATTTATCACTGTAATGACGAGGTGAAGCTCAGAAGATCGTCGCAGTCGGTCTCACCGAAAGATGGTTGTACCTTGTTCCTCTGCCTACACGTGAAGTAAGGGCGTTCAGTCAACGTTGAGTCAGTAACGAGTAGCAACCTACTCCTGTCTTTACCGAACACTCAACACCGATAAAATACTATAAGAGAAATCACGTCTTGGATCAAAGACGTTGCGACCTGGAGATGACTCACCACCAACCGAGAGTTGCGGTCCATCTTGGCTTCGTATATTGGAATGTTTTCGGCATTTTTTGTGATCATCTTGTGATTGTCTGGGGTGAAGTGCCCTTCGCGGAGCTCGCTGTTGTAAGGTAGGATGAGAATAAACACGATGGAAAACACACGAAGACGTACTCTATCTTCTGAGTTATGATCTTGAGTCGGTCTCCACCTGCACGCTCAGCCTGACGTAGATCGTCGGTCCGCGTTCTTGGACATTCTGATCTTCCATTCGTCGTTAGATCCGGTCGTATCCACCGCATCGCTTTGGAGGTCATCGGGCAGATATGGCGCGTTCGATCGCGACACGGGAATGTGTGGTATGTACGACTGCCAGATGAACGACCTCGCTGTGTCCGATCGCAGAGCGTGCAGGAAGTGCTACGGGGAGTATACACATCAGTATTCTCGCGTGGTTTCGACCACGTCAAGAGGCGACGGCAGAGCGTACCTCCAAAGTCTCCATCTGCTCAGATATAACGCTGGCCAGAAGCACGTTCGCTTGGAACTTCGATGTGGGGACCTCGGCCCCGTACGCGAGGATGTGCTGTATGTCGACGCCTGCCCCACGGCCGGTGTGGATGGATCGCCTTCGTTTCTGGTTCTGCTTCTGTTGGGCCTTCTCTGCCCGACGCGTTTGAGGTGTGGCCGCATCTTCGTCGGGAAGAGTGCCGCTGGCGAGCAAGAGCGCGATCGTGTTGATCACCAGCATGGTCACCCGCGCGGTCGTCCGGTAGGTTTCGAAGGGATCGGCGGGGGTATCGTTAGGAGGCGTTACCGCGAGACGCTCCATCATCTTGAACGGGATAGAGCCCGTGAACGTCACGTCGAAGGAAGGTGGACGAAGGAGTACGTCAGACAGTTGATCGAAGTCGTTTGTGGAGCAGGCTGCGGTGCGCATACATGATGGGGTTGTTTACAGATCGAACGATGGACGTACTCACCTGATAAGAGAAATTCAAGGACCCCTTGGGCACCATTGTCCTCCAGAGACTGCAGAGTCGCCAAGAGATCCGAGGTTTGATCCTGGAAGATTTTTGAAGCGTCTGAGAGCGCCCTGTCGACGTCCCCGTGCGTGCTGAACAAAGCGGGTTTCAGTCTCGTCGCGAGCTGCTCCCCCGCGTTGCGTCCTTTGACCTGGGCCGCTGAAGATTTTCCCGAAGAGGGCCGTCCGGGCGGCATGATCTCGAGTTTTGTGGAGGACTGTGGACTGGGATGAGAGCAAGAGACAGGGTGTCTGATACAGGAGACGCACCCCCAACACATGTCCGCGCTTGATGTCCGCGCTCCGCTCCGCTGGGTTGCCGCCGGGCACGTTTTGAGTACAAGGTTTGCCATTACACGGACTTCGAGGTTCTCACGTCGCACACACATGACATCAGCGGGTTTTAACATGTTGAACGCTGTCACTTTGCTATGAGTTGGGTCTAGACTCTAGTACGAACCAATAAAGCCAACAACGCACATACAACCAACCTTTGGGGCGCAGCAACTTGTTAAGTCGGATGAGTTGATTGTACGCGCTGTCCGGGACTTCCGTAAAGTCGCCCCGGAGCGTGTCGAGGAACTTTGTGCTGCGGTAGCTTTAGCCGCCAGCATAGTACGCAATGAATTGACGATCAAGGTAACGTCTGGGCGTCCCGTGCGGCTTCTGCACAGATTGGTATACTGGCGAACGTGTCAATCACAACTCGTCTGAGCAGTGTGCGGACTGAAGAGCTCACCAAATTCATTACTCGTGGTTGAGGTCAAGGTTTGAATTTCGGGCGGGCCGGCGCGCGGTTCCCCGAGCGTCCGATTCGATTCCCGAAAAGGAAATCCCTATTAATCAAGCGCATGCCGCTATTAGAACCTGGCAATCACATCCCGACACCCACTTAGTGCGATGTGTTTCCCCGAGACTATGGCAGAGGGGAAGGCGACTGAGGCGGGCTCACAGCTCGGCACATTGAAGTCAATCCACAGGCTCGTCAGAGAGCCCTCGGCCGTTCTAAGAAACGAACACCAACAACCCCATTCTAGAGCGTGTACGTGCAGAGCCTTCTGCCCTTCATAAGCCCTCTTTCAAATGACAGTGAAGCTGCAGATGGCGAAGACCAGATACAACAGTGAAGTAAGACCAGTCCTCCACTCACTAGACCATATCGTCCAGCGACCGTGCTGCGCGACCGCGATCAGCGCCGGCTGGTGGTTTCGCCGCCGTGTTGATCGACGCGAGCCGGTACTTCCCCTTGGGTAGCCCGCCCGCGACCTCCGCCGCGAGCACGCCGTCAACCGCGGCGGCGTTGAGGCCCTTGAAGTAGATGTACGAGTTCGTCGGGTTTGTTGAGTCGAGCGAGGGGATCGGCTCAATGACGATGTGCGAGTGGCCGGTGGTGTCGCCCTTGGCGTCGAAGGTCTGCGGGGCGGCGAAGTAGTTCGTGTTCGGGTTGACGAAGTTGCTGGCGTTGAGGTGCGAGACCGCCATCTCGACGGTGAAGTTCGTGTTCGCGGGAGCGTCATGAAGTTCGCAGGGAACACGAACTTGGACGACGGCATGTTGGATGACGCCCGCCGGCGCCGGGTTGCACGACCTGGTCACGATCTGCTGGACGTTGGTGATCGCTTGGGAACGGTCGCGCAGAAGTTGATGAAGTTGTTCGAGGATGTGAGCGATGCAACTTGCCCCGGGCTCGGGCTACAGGGGAGGCGTCAGCGGGCGCAAGGAGAGACGAGATATTCGGCTTATATTTCCTGGCCCTTTCGAGCAAAGCCCGTGGCGATCACAGAATTTAACAGGGTGAACGCAGACTGGGGGTCATTTTGAGGTGCGCCACTGGCAGACGCTTGATCACCACCCGGTCAGAACGCTC